TGCACAGCACGTCCCCTCCTCGAGCTGGAGGGCAAGGACTCCAAAAAACCAGAGCACTGAAATTACAAACCAAAACACCAACTATTTTGGGACTCACATCGAAATGGCAACATATGCTACACGTTGCACATCAGCCCCTACCAAAAGCAGAGCTATTTCTGGGCCCCTCCTGAATGGCACTGGAGATGCAGGAAGAGCAGATGCCTCCCAAACTCCTTCTGGAAGCTCCCTCGCAGGTCCATCTGCAGGTAACAAAGTGCTGACCGGGAAGATGCCACTAGTTGGGTGTTTCACAAGGTCTCTGGGAACCTTAAGCAATATTTTGAGAGGAGAGGGCTCTTCCTTGCTGGCATTTGGCCTATCCCTGGCTTTCTGCAAGGGCTTGTTTGTGTCTGCGCCGTAATAGAGTGTGGGTTGTATTTCACCAGAGCGATTTCGTTCGCAGCTAGTAATTGCTGGTTAAATCTGGTCAAATGATGGTTGTTAGCAGGGCCTGTTTGAGCACAGATAACCTCAGATATTATTCATGCAGAGGAGCAGTGGGGGCCGGGGTGTGCTGGGATATCGGCACTGCTGGGGAGCCGTAATCGGCACAGCCTGGAATAAGCTTCTTAGGATTATTTAGCCAAGTTTCCAAGTTATCATCATTATTATTATTATTGCTTTACTTAGCAAATGCAAAGGATATTTAACCAGGTGGGGTCTGCAATCCACTCGATGGGCTCAGCCAAGCCTCCCCAGCAGTCGAGGGCAGAGATCTTTCGGGGGAAGCAGCCTGGTTGCCAATAGCTGTGCGTCAGCCAGGAGACAGTGCCCTGAGTGAGCCAAGGAGCCAGGCACATGTTGCTTTTCAATTAACCCCCTTCCCATGCACACAGCCCTGCTGGAGCTAAGCTCATTTGAGGAAGAAAAAAATATGTTTCATACCTACCAGCCAGGGGAACTGAAGGCAGTGTAGGTACCAAGTCACCCCAGAGGGATGGAAGGGTCTTTTCCCAGCAGCGTTGGCAGAGTGTTGGCACCCCCTGACAGTGTCAATATCCCACATTCCTGCCCCTGCAGCCAGATTGGGCTGGTGTTATCTGCTGGCACCCTCTCATGCTTAAAGCTGTATGTACTTGCAGTGGCTTAATGCAGGTTCAGAAATGGTTGGGAAAAAGCAAAATGCAAGCCAAGGCTGTGCAGGCTGGTGCTGCCCTGTGTCACCTCCCTGGGGGGCTGACAAAGTTCCCTGCTCCCAGCCTGCAGTGAGTCCCTCCAAGTTCAAGGATGAGTGAGTTTCAGAGGTAGTTCCTCCAGATGGAGGCTTTAATTTGGCATCATCTCTCTGTGCTCTCTCCAGGCTCTTTTCCAGCAGCACCAGCAGAGCAAGGGGGTTCTGTGAGATCCTTTGGGTCTGAGTTGACAAAGTATTAAATAAAGAACTGGTGGGTCACTCACTGAATCTCTGGTAAGTGATGGGATGTGCCGTCCTGCTGCTGTACTTGTCATTTGGAAAGGAATTGATCAAACTGGAATCAGCCCCTGTTCTTATTGATTTAAACCTGGAACAGCAGAATTTGATGCTTAAGCATTTGAAAGAAAATTGGTTGAAGTGTGTCTTGGGGATAGCCTGTGTTTTTGGATGCATGTTTAATTGGTGTGTTGCTGTTTTGTGGGCTGTAGGAATATTCCTAATATTCCTCCTGTTTGCCCGTTTGCAGGGCAGATCCCTCCTCACAGGAGGAACCACATTGTGGCCTGGCTCTGCACAGGCTTTGTCTGGATGTACTTAAGCCTCTGCTTGTGCCCCTGTTCAGGACAACATTGAAATTAAACTCTGGGCTGTCCCAGGTCAGGATGCTTTTCTGAGCCTGGGATGGAGCTGGAGTGATGGTTCCTACATGCCAAGTGCAATGTCACTTGTGCTGAGCTCAGGATCTTGTCACAACTTTCACGCATCACTGGGAGGGAAATACAGCTTTTGGCAGGGACAATGTGCTCTTCTCTATCATCCTGCTGTGATGCTCTCTGATGGCCACCTCCACCTTCTCTGGAGGATGTCCCCCCTTCATGCAGGGATAGGTGTCCCTTGGCTTTGCTCCCTGCCAGGCAGAGCTGTGGGTCCAGCTGCAGAAATTGGCACTGTAATGTTTAAAGTCTCTCTCTTTCCTCCTGGGGGACTGGTGAGGAATCCACATCCTCCTTTTCGGGGCAGCAAAGGCCACGAGCGTGGGCACTGCAGCAGCTCAGAACCGCCCTGGCAGAGCTGGGGATCAAATCAAGTCACATTCCAGGGCATTAGACAGACGGTGGGAATTAAGAGCTTTACCTGGAAACTGGCTTTGTATCTCCAAGCCCTGCTTTTGTCTCCCAGCCCAACTCTCTATTTTTGTCCCTTTTACCTTCCATGTTGTCATGTGTGGCAGGACGTGGTGCCTGGCTGTGCAGCCAGCCCCCGACCACATTTGGGGAACCCTTGGAAAATATGGGGCCATGCTGCCCAGGAGGAAACACTCAGGCAGTATGAGAAGGTAAAAAAGAGTAGTTTATCAAAACCAAGCTGCTTTGGGACTCATTAAAAGCTAAGGAAAGGCTTCAGCTGCTTTCAGTAGGCTTGGGATCAGTCAGGGACTAGAAAGTCCCATCTGGGCTGTTAGCAGTAAATCTTGGGTTTGTTTCCTTCAGTCTATAAGGCTGGGGACAGGGTCTCCCTTGGGGGCCACTCCTGCCCTGATTCAGGGAGCTTTGTCTGCTTCAGTTCTGCCTTTGCTTTGCCCTTCATCTGGTCCCCTTGTCGCTCTTCTGCATCCTTGGGTGAGCTGGGCACCTCTCGGTGCTGCTGGGCAACTTGCTCCTGGCTGTGGGCTGTCGGTGCAGGAGGAAGAAGAGCTCAGAGTTTCACCTTAATTCCCAGAGACTTGATTTTCTGACCTATAAACAATACTTCTCTATATTGATGTTGTGCTCTTTGAGGAAACATTTGAAATGACGACGCTTTTGTAATGGTAATAACGACATTAGGCCCTCATATGTAACTTAATTTTATTTATTTATTTGTTTGCTCTTTTCTTAGTGGAAATTGCTGCTTTTTTTCTGGGCATCGGGCCCAATTTTTGCTTTGTTCCGAGTCCACACCACATCTGGATGCTGCACCCAGGCTGCTCCAAAGCCAGAGGCACCTCTTTGTGCTTTCCATGACATTCCCACCTATCATCAATCCACCTGCGATATTTTCAGCCTTGACACGCAAAGCAGGTGGCATTTCCATCTGAATTAATGTCCTGGGAGTCGCTGGATGTGGGAAGGGGGCTAAACTGTCTCAAGCTGGATCTGCTACACCGATCACCCCTGCACAACAGGCGGGAGCTACCTCGGAGTGAAAACATGGCAGGGAGAGGAAGGAGTGGTGAGCAGTGTCCTGCTTTCCCAGGTCATTAGAGCATCCATGTTCGTCAGGTCTGGGTGCAGAGCAATGACAAGTTTGGATGCTTCAGGAGAGAAACATTTGCTTCCCGGTGAGAGTAAATTAGGTTTGCCTAGTGTCAGTGTGTTATGAGTCAGGGACGTGCATTAACATTTACCAAAATCTGAAGGAAAATTGAACTCCGCATTAGGCAAAAAGGTTGGGTGTCATTTTCCTGGGATTTGGGGAAAATCCTCTGAGGAACAGAGCTTTGTTTTTAATAGACACCCGCGTGCCAGCCTCCAGGAGACTGCAGCTCTGTGTGCATTGAGAAGGGATCTGTGTCCTGTAAGGTTACCAGCTGTGAGCAGCTGGACATGGTGCTGGGTGACCATAGCACACTGTGTGTCCCAGCCTCATGCCAGACCTCCCACTCCTCAGCCAGCTACACTTGGGAGCTGCCTCTCTAAAATATTTTAGGCACATTTTTCTGGGCAGGATGAGTTACTGGGCAGCATTTTGCACCAAGTTCTGACAGCGTTTCTCTTCTGGCACTCCTTGCTGAAAAGTCCACTTCCAGTAGCTTGTGGAACCACAGATTTATTGATTTGAACACAGGAAGAGATTAGTAAAAACAGCAGTCTGAGACCAACCTACCTGAGCAAACCACAGCTCAGCATTTTCCAGGGAGCCTGCAGCAGGCTGCAGGGAGCCTGTCCCTGTCCTGGCTAGTGATGGGGCCCTGGCCCTGCCTGGGAAGGTTACTGGGGGGGTGCTGAGCATGGCCACACTGTCAGGGAGCCCTGGCCCAGCCCTTCACTCGCTCCTCTGCGATGCTCTACCTGCTGCACCGCTCCACGCCACAGCCGCACGCTGGCAGGGCGAGGCTGTGCCCCCGGGCTGTGAGCAGGAGCCATGTGTTGCTTCAGTCCCAGCCCCAGGGGCTGGGGGCGGCTCACCCAGCCCCCCTGGCCGGTGCTGAGCTCTGGAGGGGGCGTTGCTGTGGGCTGGGGGCAGCTACGGCAGCAGGGCTGCGAGTCCGGGCTGTCCGTGCCCCTACGGGCCGTGGGGAGTGGGCAGGGTGTGACCCCTGCCCCTGCTGAGGATGCGGCACAGCACCTCCCTGGCACAGTCCGCGGTGAGCCGGGAGGGCACGGGGGCTGCCGTGATCCCCGTGGGCTGCCACCATCCCTGGGGACTGCCACCATCCCTGGGGACTACCACTATCCCTGGGGACTGGGGCAGCCCTGCGTCCCTGTCCACAGCACGCCGGGATGCGACCCAACAGGGCGATGGCTCCTGACACTGCGTGGTGACCCCCCGGAGGGGTCTGGCAGGGACCAGCCCTGCTTGGGCAGGCAGATGGGTCGAAGCCCACCTCCCCACACCCCATCACCCCAACTTCTGCTTGGCTGCCCCCGGGGCTGTGCCGGGGAAGGGGGGGGCCGGCTGCCCACGCCGGTGGCCGTGCGGCCGGGGCGGCAGGCCGGCCACAGCCCTCATTCCTCCGCTGCTGGGTACCGCTTTGTTGCTAGCTGGTGACATCACCCGAGAGCCCACCCCCTGCCTCTTATCCGTCTCTGTGTCTCGCTCATTTATTCACAGGCAGCGCTGGCAGGATCAGGGGCTGTGGCGAGCGCCAGGGCAGGCGGCAGCAGCATGTGTGCGGTGTTTGGGGCTCAGGGTGCGAGAACCACGTAAGGTGCCCACCGGAGCCTCCCTCCTCACCCGCCTCCGCAGCCCTCGGCAGAAACTTCACGGCTCCCCCACGCACGGTCCGGGCTTCTCCGGAGGGGCTTGGCACCGACAGCCGCATGCATGACACTCCGAAAAGGAGAGAAAATGACCATAAGTATCCAGGAGCACATGGCTATTGACGTCTGCCCCGGCCCCATCAAACCCATCAAGCAGATCTCCGACTACTTCCCCCGCTTCCCCCGCGGGCTCCCCGCCGCCGTCGGCCGCAGCAGTGCCCTGCGCCCCGCGGTCAGCCAGCCCTCCGTGAGCCCCGCCGAGGGACCCCGCGAAGATGACGAGGACGTGGACCAGCTTTTTGGAGCGTATGGCACGACGCCCGCCGAGCAGCCGGCCAAGAGCCAAGCGCCCGAGGAGGTGGTGGACCCCGAGGGCTACGAGTCCGACGACTGCAGTAAGTTCCTAAGTTTCCATGGGAGTTTGCTGGGTGCTGAGGGCAAGGGTGGGTCTTAGGGCTGGTTCCCCACCTTGGTGCCTGAGTCGCGTGCCCTTCCCGGCTGCCAGCCATGCTGCCCATCCCTGGCATCACACTGCAGCAGTGAGAAGTCCCCAGCTTTAGCTGGGAAGGCTGTTACGGCACTGTTTCGGGGTGGAAGGGGGCCCTGGGAGTGTCCCTGCTGCAGCCAGGCTGGCCGCTGAACCCAAACTAGGGAAGTCTCCCAAGAGCCACCAGTTGCTGTGCTTTGCTGTTGTGGTTGGTGCACTTCTCTGCCTCGTCCCTGCTCGGCTCCGTGCCTCTGAAGGCTGCCAGCGGGGCTCAGACCCTTCGGTTAATCCACCTCGGTGGTGCAGGCTGCTCCAGCCACCCTGCTGATGAGCTGGCGATACGCTCCAGCATCGCCCGGCTCCACATCGGGGAGATTTGTTTGGAATGACATCCACCCTGGAGATCTCTGCCCTCTCCTTCGGCAAACTCTGACATGTCATTCCTCCATTCCTCCAGCTGCAGGCAGAGCCCTGCAGGAGACCAGCGGGGGCTTTGGAACAGAAGGCTTTGGTTCTGGTAGATGCAGGTGCTTGCAGCAAGGGTTAACCCCTCCCCACCCAAAACGTCCTTCCCACCCGGCGCGGTGGAGCTTGCAGGCTGCAAGGCAGCTGCTGCCTGGCTCTGCCAGCCGCGGTGACTGGGATAATACGATTTCCCTTGGAGTCGGATAAAACCCAAGGGCTCGATTCAGCCCAACCTTCAGGGGCCAGATCCTGCGAGGGGCTGAGCACAAAGTTTGAAGCCGGGAGGTGCCGAGGAAGGGAGCGGGTGCTGCTGAGCAGTGCTGCGTGCTCGTCCTGGGGGAAGGAGAGGCTGAGCTGTTTACGGCCCAGCACCGGGCAGGCGGTGGCTTTTTCCTGTGCAGAATGTCACAGCCCTGCCTCGGCCTCGCTGCCGGGCTCTGGGCTGGCCTGGGCTGCTGTCATCTGTGCCAGACCCCGCAGCGTGACCCCAAGGAGGGCTGTGCTGCTGCAGGGTGGCACAGCCATCCCTGTGCCCCCCTCTGCCCGCTGACCACCAGCTACAGCCCCAGGAGAGGCTGGGAATTGTGTGCCAGCCCCAGACTGATGCTCCCTTTCTCCCCATGCCGGTGTCAGGGTCATGCTCTCTGGAGAGGCGAGAGCCTCGGCGCTCCCGGGGAGAGAGAACATCTCTGCTAAGCCGCGTTTGTCCGAGCCGGGCAGTTAACGGTGACTTTAACCGGATTTGGGTGTTATTTGCTGCTCTAATTATTAGATCGTCTTTGCTCACTGTGGCAGTAGAAATGGGAGCAACCGGGCTGCAGGGCCAGGGGTGTGTGTGGGAGCCGAAGCACTCGGGGCCCCAGAGCGTGGTGTTTTCTCCAGGTGACTCGCATGGAAATAGCCCAGGGTGCTTGCTGCATTCTGCATTTTTCCGCCGGCAGTGCTGGCTGGAAGAGGCTCGGCTTCGTGCCGGGGGCGGGCGGGTGTTTCTCTCACCCCGGCTGGTGTTAGGAAGAGTGTTTGTTGCAGCGTAACAGGTGTCAGGCAAACTGCTGAGGCTCTTTTGCCAGATGTGGTGGGTTTTCGGCTGGTGGAAGCACATCAGTGCCAGGAGCAGAGTGGGGAGGTGGGACTGCTGGTGTCACGTCTCTGGGGACAGCACAGGGTGGTCCCAGCCACCCTCAGGACACTGGTTGGCATAAATGTGCAGGATGAGACTGTCACTCCCCCATGTTTAGCAACCAAGTTGTAAAGCCAGACAAGAGCTCCTTGTCCCAATTTCCCAGCTGGGGAGCTGGGAGGGGATTCGTGCAGCCTGACTCGAGCCATCAGCTACGCTGGGGAGTGTTGTTCAGCTCCCCCACATCCCTGGAGGGTGATTCAGGGCTGCTGCATTAGTCACCTGCACTAAATTTCCCCTGGAGAACCTGTGTCTGCCTGTACATCAGGGCAGCACTGGGGTTTAGGTGGTGCCAGTCCCCTTGGGTGTCACACAGGGTTCAGGGAGGTGACTGAGGTCTCAGGGGGTGGTGGTGTCAGATCTAGGTGCAGCACTCACAAATCAGGGTGTTGCTGGGCAGTGGCACATCTTGCCTCACTCCCCACAGATACTCCCAGCTCAGCCCCAGAGAGGTGCAGGGAGAGGGATTTTGCCATGGCAGGGGCCATCTGGAGGAGGAGGAGAGCTCCTTCCCAATTGTCCCACCTGCCTGCGGGTTTCCCTCCTCCAACACCAAGCGATGTTGCTGCTGGCTGGGGGAATGGGAGGAGGAGAGCTGCCCCTGCCTGGAGAAATGCAGCATTTGTCTGGGTTTCCCCAGGCTCGTTCCTGCCTGGAGTTGCTGCTCTGGGCTGGTTTCTGGGTTTGCAGCAGCAGCAGCCTGTTAGGTGCCACGGATGGGTTGCTCTGTCACTGCTGCCGTGCAGGGCGGCATCGGCAGGGGCTGGACCGGAGCTGCCATCCCTGCAAAACCTTCAGCACCCAGCAGGACTGTGGGGAGAGAGTAGGGTAGGTTCTGCCTGGCCCTGCTGCGGCTCACCTGGGCTGGTACCCTGCACCCCATTCCTTAATCCTTTGCTGAGTTGTGCTCCAGGTGCCATCAGCAATTCTTGGAGTGCCTACGGAGCCAGTGGGAGCTGCCTTCTTCTGGATGGGGCAACCCCAGAGCAGCACAGCCCTGGGAGAAGCATCAGCGTCAGCTCCCATCCAAGCAGGGTGGCCTGACCCAGGGGTTTGGCATCTGCAGGGAGCAGGGACATGTTGGGGGGCAGATGCGTGTGCGTGCATGGTGTTGGTGCTTTGGAAAATTACGAATCCCCAGGCTGCAAGAGGCAGGTAGGATTGCTCCAGAGATGGGCAGGGACCCGGCTGAGGCAGGAGGACAGATGGTACTAGTTCATGGGAGGCTGATGCAGAGGCTCAGGCTGATGGCTCTGGGACACCTTTCAACCAGCCTGTTGAATGCAGTGAGTGGCAGGGAGCAGGCAGGGCCAGGGAACAAACACAGCAGATAATGAGTGGAGACATCTGGGCTGGCTCTGGGACTACTGAGAACTGCATGGAGCCAGCTCTTCCCGTCAGACCTGCCAACAGTGCTGCTTGAGGATTTGCAGGGTTGTGGTGGGCACCTGCTGCCATCCCAGGACCCATGGGAGACCCTGGGAGAAGGACTCATCACTACCCTATGCCTCCTCCATCCTCCATCTGCAGGGATGCTCTGGGACCAGAGCTCAGGCTGTACAGGACTCTCTTCCTGCAGGGGGTTTGTCCCCAGTGGAGCTGCTGAGGAGGTGGAATGAGACAGGAGAGGTGGGAAGTGTGTATTTGGTGAGAAAGGTGATTTGGCACTGTTGGACCAGAATTAGCATCTGCTGTGAGCTGAGAGGACCAGCCAGGATTTGGGGCTAGGAAGGGGGGGATTTACTCCTGCTGCCTCGGGACACTTGGCTGTCACCTCATCTTTGGTTCCCCTGGCTGGTGCCCGGTGACAGCAGCAGTCCTGGCCCCTGGGGTCCCCAGCCACCAGAGATGCTTCCCACCCATTCGGGCAGCACACTGCCAGGGAAACTTGGTTTGCAAGGAAAATAAGCAAATGCCAGCTAGATGGCAATGTGCCACCTGCGAGGAGCTGGCTCTTGCCTCCCATCTTCCCCGATTTCACCCAAATTGCTGCCCCTTCACTGCCCACACTTCCCCCTCCACAGCACCAGTGGGAATTTCTACCTGATGGGTTTTTAAAGGTCTCTCAAATCCCTGCACGAGCAGCACAGAGGTGGAGACGCCGTCCCTGTGAGGGAGCACTGCTGGGGCTTCTGTCACAGGGGACAGCGCTGGAGGGAGCAGCCATCCTCCTGTAACAGGCAAGCAAATTTCCAGCCCTTGCAGAAATGCCCCGTTCCCCTGAGCTGCTGTTTGGCTTTGGAAAGAGGCTGTGGTCACACTGGAATTTTCTCCCTCCTCCGTATGCGTTTGGCTCTGGATTTTCCAATGGGAACACAGCCTGAGGGCAGGGAGCTGCAGTGGGAGCTGGAAGAGCTGCCCCACACTGTTCCTGCCAGCGCTCCAGGGCTGTTCATATATGCACAAACCCAGCCAGTTCCATGGCATGCCCAGTTGTTACTCACGGAGGAGCAGGCTCGTGAGCAGGCTCCGGAGCTGCAGCAGCATGGAAACGACTTCTCCAAAGTACAGCTGAGAGGCCAGTCCTGGTGGCGGCGGCTCGTGACGCCTGCTGAGAGCAGCGCCACGCAAGTTATTTAGGAAGACTCTTATTTTGAGCAAAGAAGATAATTAGGCAGGCAAAGCCGTCATGGAGATATTAATTACTGGCTGCTCAAAGACGTAAAGAGGAACGTCTTAAGGGGTGCAGGGTTTGCAAGTCACCTGGCAGTGCTTTTGGCCAGACAGGGGGAGGGAGAGGAGACGGCGAGGGGAAATGTGCACTGGAACGGGGAGGATATTTACTTCTGAAACGCGGCTCCTTAGCATATGCTGCCACTGCTATTTATAAGCTTTGAATCGTCTTTTCAATCCAGAGAAGGCCAAAAGAAGTAATTTTTTTTTACTCAGGAAACTAAACAAACCACCGCTGATTTCGGCAGAGCCTGGAGCGTGGCTTTGCCCACCAGACCACAACCCGAGCTGCCAGTGCCAAAGGAACGTGTGTGGGTACTGGGCAGTGTGGAACCAAGGTCTGAGGGCATCAGGGAACTTCTAGTCTTCCCAAGGGAGACATGGGGTGTTAACTGGGATGACTCTGGATTAGCTCCTGTCTGGTTTCCTGCGGGATAGGTGGGTATAGGGAAGGTGCTGGTGTGGGGCGAGCTCTCACGCTTTCCCGCTGGCCACCCCTTCAGTGGTTCAGGTGGAGGCTGCACACTGTGTGTTCCTGATCCCCCAACGAGCCTTCAGCCCCCAGAGATGCCTGTTCCCAAGGAGTGACC